ATCTTCGACACTTCTAGGCCGCTTTTCACAGTGTCGGAGACAAATAAAAATAAAATCAACCAATTTCGCATCTTGGATTGTAAAGCTGTACCTTCGTCCAGTATTGGCATACATTGTGAAAATCTTATGGTTTGGATCCATCATTCCGACCTCAAAGCTTAGATATTCAAGCATACTCCCAACTCTGAAAAGTCACTAGTAATTCCCCAATAGAGAGACTCATCAGTCATGTGGTATTGGGCAATGCCAACATCAATTAATTTAAAGATGAGTTCGCGACTACCATCTTCCTTTGTTTTCCATACTCCCCTGACATGATCGGCTTTAATATCTCTATGTGTTATGATTCTATCGTGAAGTGCTTTTAATCCGTTAAGCACATCCCTGCCAACCTTTCTTATCATGTCTATGCCTCCCTGTTTTACATACTCGCTATCAAGACCAACGTCGAGATATTCTGTCAAATACCAAGTATACATATCCTCGTCTTCTCCAGCTTTAAGCTGAACGTGTCTTTCGAATACGTGCAGAATCTCAATAACGTTGGGTGAATTAACATATTCAGCAAGCAAATCTCTCGAATTATAACCACCTCCTATTGAGTGTCCAATCTGTTTCAAAATATAGGAATTTGCACCATGCGTTATTTTAAACACATAGAACCAACGCAAATCCTCTATCTTCATGTCCTTCAACCCGTATTCAGAGTTTAAAAAAATCAACATTTCATTTTTGTACTTATGGTCTCTTATATCAATCTGGTCAAACAACTTTGTGAGTATGCTAAGCTTTTCGATTACCACTCCAAGATCACTACCTACTGCTGTTATGCTATTAATGTCATCAAGTGCCTTTGCAAGTAACTTTACCATTGATGGCTCCATCACATCCTGAAATAAAGGATTAGCCTTCAATAGGCTACCTACGGAAGTCTGAGACTGATGTTTCGAAACCATCCAAAGGCCTAAAATCAACACCTTGATTAACAGGTATTGAGCTATGAGCTGTTTGGTCCATCAAGCTGGTGATTGGATTTGAATGGCAATGGCCTTGATTGGTAGAAGATCTAGATGGTATGATAAAGCTGAAAATGCTGTGGCTAGGCATCGCTAGTCCCAATGCCATTATGCTTATAAAAAACTGTCTTTTTGTGATGCCCTGGGTTTCTTCTGCAACATTT